AGCATACTTCAATTTGGCAATCCTGCCATATAGACCCTTAAGGAGCTCCTGTTATTATTGCAAATAAATGATATGCAAGACCAGCATAAATTAAACATGTACATCAAAATGTAATTAAAATCCGTATATAGGGTATATAGATTGTTGCTCTTTAAACTAGAATATGAGCGAGCCCTATACAAATCTTACGTTATTAATTTGATTATTATTATTTATAAATATTATAGTATAGGTTAGTTGGCGGCAATATATAAATTGTGCTTTGCTGTAAATGTTATAAACTGTAAGTGTTAAATGACATACAGGATCTGTGATATATCTGTCTCTTATACACATCTAGATGTGTATAAGAGACAGGTACTTACGTTGTCTCTCCCATTAACTTTGATGCTTGATTTTTGCAGCGCGCGTCTTAATGATGATACACGTTTGGGTAGAAAGGTAACCATCGCCAAGTAATGGAGAATAGTTCGACGCACCTGCAAGTGAAACGTAGAAAATTATAAACACAGGAAAATAAACTACAAGAAATTATGGCATAACATAAAAACAAAACAAACGTCTCAGTTACATTACCCATACATTAATTATTACACTCGTTATTATTAGATACTAATTTAACATAATTTAGTATATTTTAAATGATGGTTATAATGTAAAATCGCGTAAATAATGTTTGAATCAAAAGGTCTATGTTTTACACTATATTCAAATATTCTTTCAAATTCGCATTTTTAGCGATTGAACTTTTGGTGTAAAATATCAATTGCATTGTCATTAATATATTCAGTAAACTGTATTGATAAAAACAAATCCAAACATAATTACTTTCTCTGATTATAAAATATATTTTTTCAAGTTTTTATTGAGTAAATAGTGTTCTTGCCCATAACATAGGCTTTTTAGTGTTGTAAAAAATCAGATAAATTAAATAGTAAAATCATAATTTTTAGTTTTAAATAAAATATATCACTGTAATATTATATTGAGTCATTATTAGATACTAATTACATAATTTAATATTTTTTAGATGATGCTTATAAAGTAGAATCGGGCAAACAATGTTTGAATCAAAAGGCACTATTAGACCTACTAGATTACATTAATATACAGTAAATGCACATTTTTAGCGATTGAACTTTTTGTGTAAAATATTAATTTTATTGTCAATAATGTATCTAGTTAACCATACTGATAAAAACAAATCCAAACATAACTACATTCTCTCATTTTAAAATATTATTTTAAAAGTTTTTATTCAAAAGTCCTATTTAAACACTATTATTAAATTATCATTTCAAACTCAGATATTTTAGCGAATGAACTTTTTGTGTAAAATATAAATTTTATTGTCATTAATATATTGATTTAATCATACTGATAAAACAAATCCAAACATAATTACTTTTCTCTCATTATAAAATATATTTTTTGAGAGTTTTTATTGAGAAAATAGTGATCATGTTCATAACATAAGCTTTTTAGAGTTAAAAAACGCATATAAATCAAATAATAAAATCATAATTTATAGTTTTAAATGAAATAAATCACTGTAATCTACATTGAGTTGATGATGACTTGTTTGTTGCATGATTTGTATACATGATATGTGTTTTGTATTGTTTGTATAAAATGTAATGATATTTAATTTCACCCACGTTGTCCTCGTGTTCTATGTTCTCTCTTGTTGCTGCGTCAATCATCATCTCCAACACGTTGTCTGGTGCCCGCCACACAGCGTGCATTAACGGCGTCCAGTCGATCTACGAAAACAAACATGAATGCACACTACACGATTATAACAACGTACTACTACAGAATACACATACATTACAAACACACTTTAATCACATCATAATCACATCAAACATTAAAAATCATTCAATAAAATCAATCGAATTACTAATCAAGTTAAAAAATGAAATATAAATAGCAAACCGTTAAATTATTCGGGTTTCTGTCGCATGCATATTTCTATTTATTTAGATTGACTTTTGTTACATGATTCAATATATTTTTCTTCAAAAAAGATTTTTTGAAGTTTCTTAATTTTATTGACACTATGCCATTTCAATTACATTCAGAATTAAAATGAATATAAGGAATAACATATTTTTCTATAAAATACAATTTATTTCATAATATTTTATCAAACCAAGTTCACATTAATTTTGCACGCGTTTTCCTATTCCTGGAAGTTAAATCAATTTACATTTTTTTCGAAATTATTTTTTTACGAGTTTTATATTTGTATTGTTACCATGATATTCCATGTATACTAAGAATTAAAATAAGTATACGGAAGGCCATGTTTAATCTAAATCCAATGTATTTTATACCATTTTATTATCTCTGTACGTAGGCCTAGGCCCCTATTATATTGAGTACGGACGTTAGTGAATAGGATCTAGGAGTATTTTTTGGATATTTTAAGTTATTTTACAAAGATTGATATTATTTCAAGCATATAACTGACAAACTATTTCAGATTTAATGTTATTATTCCTCGTGTAATAGTATTCTCTGATTCTTGTTATTTGCCTTGTTTTTTATTTATCAGGACAATATTTCAAAATAAATCTGTTGATTTAATGACGTAATTATTATGTTGTTAAACCCATTATGCAGCCTAATTGGGAAATATAAGGTAGGCCTAACAAGAACCAGAAATCATGGTGGAGCTGGTCTGGACCCTTCATCTGTTAAAACTTGTCCCTGAATCCCTCTATTGTTTGTGGATACAATATTTATATTTATTATTAGATTATTATAAGTAAATTTAGGTCATAACTATGAATATTATAGAATTAATGAAATATTTTAATTTATAATTGACGTTTAAATACTTATAATCAAATCCCGGGAGCAGTCATATTGTAGTCAGAGAAATCATACTATTCTGATAATTACGGTTTAATATATACGCTACCTGATATTGTTTGGTTTAAACCCAGTGTACGTTATCTACAGAATTAAATTCAAAATTCCCTTTATTTTCCACTTTATTTCACTTTAATTTAAAGTACGTATTAAATTAATTATGAATAGTTACGGTAATTAAAACAGAAAGGAGTGATTTACGTTCAACAGTATCTGGCGGTCATGTGTTCTTTATACAGCAGTTGGAGTAACACTCATGGTGCAAAGCTATCGATACACTGTTTTGTATTGCTAAGCTTAATAAACTATAGAGGGCGCCATATCAATTTTTTTACCTATCAGGGAATTTAGCGACAGCGTTTCAATAATACAGTACAGTACACTGTAATTGCAGTAGCATAACCGTTTCTTCAAAGTTTTCCGTCTTTTTCCGACATTACGCTTTTGTCAATTTGTTTCCAAATCATTCATCTTAAAAAATGGATTTTTAAAAAATATCTTTGATCTAGACGTCACCTTCTAAATCTTTCTTAATTTGGTGATTTTCTTGTTTTACTTTTTGTGTAAGTATTGCTCCGTGGTCATTAACATCGTACGAATGTATTGCCATATTCATTTAATTTAATCTAATCAAAATACTCATTGACTTACGGTTTTTCTTCTGGTCGCTCCAGTAGATTATAGGCCTACATTATTTTATAATTCTTTATTGATTGTTTGACGAGAGTTTGACGACTACCACATAAATCATCGTACTTCGTTCCTCTTGTTTCGTTACGTTTTACAGTATAACATTTTTCTATGCTATGCTCTCTTTTTGTTCAATACCTAGAGTTCACCATATACAAATATATACTTACACATGCGCTGAATAACCGGTATTAGGACTTATTATGGAAAATATTACTATTTATGATATTTTAATTAACGGTTATATAAAAGTGTAAAACTAGGTAGGCCTACGCGTCGAACAGGCGGCATTTTAATTATATGGACATATTGCTATTGCAATAATATCGTAACACTATCTATGATATGGTAAGTCACTCTTATAAAAAAACAATTACGTATGCATTGAGCATCCGACATATAAATTATTGTTTATGAACTTTGAATATAATATTGATAATAGTTCAAAAGAAATACGCAGGATCCAATACTATATGCAATAATTATTATTAGGCTATACCTATATAGGCCAATTTCTAAACCTTTGAAAACTAAAGGCTTATTGCAGGTAGATTGTAATATTATTATTTTCCTATATCCAATACCCATTGCGAACATTTAAAAGTAAAAGTTTAACGCGAGTGGATTGTGAACAATTCTATTGTTCGAGTTTGAACGTAATTTTAATAAAATAATTTTGTCGAGTTTGAGTTTTCGATAATTCATCAACATTATCTCGACAAGTGTGGTTCCTAAGGCATTACTTGTACGTACCTTATCGTAAGTATTAACCAATTGTGGTTCCGTTTGTAAAAAGCTTATAACTGCTTCCCAGTTCTTTTCAAGGATAGCTTGTACTAACTTGTTTCTGTAAAATAATAATTAACATTCATCATTTGTTGTTTGGTTTACTTTGATATGATTATATTATTATCAAAAACAAATCCAACGATTTCAACTTATTCAAAATGCTGCTGCACATGTAGTTACCAAGCCATCCAAGAACTCATATATAACAAATACTATGAAAGCATTACATTGGCACTGCATTGTTCTTAAAATTATTAATT